TACTTCCAATATGCCATCTGTGTTATTGGATTTAAAATAATCAAAGATAGTGCTCTAGCAACAAAGAAATATTAAAGGAAATCTTAGATAATTATACAAGAAACATCAGAACCAATATCATATTTTGAAATAGTTTGTATTACATCTATTGCTTTTGGATTCTTTAAACCTAGGCTTACTCAAATAATAAAATGCAGCATTACTGTATCAAAAAGATACACCTAGAAAATCAAAAGTTTATTATAAAATATTATGTTAATACTATTTAAAAATACAAATTCTTAATTCTTGCCCTTTCTGGGTTTATTCATATGTAAATTCAGGCATCATTTTACCAAGTATGTATAATTGAAAATCCTACCTATATGATATATATTTACATATATACTTTGTGTATGTATACATATATGTACATATATATATACACACATATATATATATGCCATTGGACAGAAGGCAAGTGCCCATGATTCAACAGAAAAAAATGACAAAGTTTTCCTTACTGTAGACTGCTTTTACTATATTAATATTTTTATTTTCCACTAAAAATAAATAACTTAGTTCTATTGTCAGGCTATGCTTAGTTTAATTATAAGGAAATGTCAGGGGAATCAGGGCTGCCTAATTTCTTCTAGAATTAGAAATATGTCTCCATATATATGAGTATCACTTATTCTAGACATAGACATCTGAAGAAAAATAGAAATACTCTAATAATTGTATGCAGAAAAGCTAGGCTACTACCCCATTCCCTAAACTTCTGCAGGGTTCTCTTACATAGCTGTATGTCCTCACTCAGAGAGACAATGGGGACTGGGGGGGAACACAGACTCTGGCCCTACGTTAATTGGGACTCCTGGCTCTGCTACTTACTAGCCATGTGGCTCTGAGAAAGTTACTTAGTCCACAGGAAACTCAGTTTGCTCAAGTATAAAATGAGGATAATAATGGAACTTCTTAGGGTTGTTTTGAGAATTAAATGAGCTAGTATTGATAAATCACATATCTATATTTGACACAGTAATAAAAAAACATATTTTGTCTTCCAATGCCAGGGACAGAGCTCACAAGGAAATGCCATCCCATATGAGATTGTCGTGTTGCCATTTGGGTGCCAAAGCCCACCCTGACTCGTTTTGTTAAAGCTCCCATGGAGTCATATGAGGATGAATAACTCAAACTTGAGGGAATGATATCTGCAAAGTAAACCTAGAACCAGACTAACCCTCACGCTACCTGTCAGGTGAATGCCTCAGCAGTGGATATGAGATAACCTTCCCGAAAAGGCTTGTGTGCCTTATACAACTTTCTGTTTAAGTGCTTGGCACAAGATAACCACCACTGGTGTGTATTAGTACTAGAATACTTTTTGAACAAAGATATTTTAATTTTCCAAGCTGTTTTCCTAATTAGGAATACTCATTAATGTACCGAAATAAAACAAGAAACTTATCACTTCTTTCCAGTTTAAGACTACACAGACAGTTTAACGCTCAACATGGTCCCTTTCCAATTAGACAAAAAAGGAAGTTTCTATGGTGATCATGCTTATAGTCATTGCAGTCATTCCTTTTTCTTTCCTTGCCAATGCTCAATATACATCAAATTACTCACAATTACATACAAACTTCCTAGCACCTCTGAATCTTCTTAAAATTATACTTTCTACTCGTGACTTTAAAAAGTAACTGCGATTTTTCTCCTGAATAATTAAAAAGATAAAACAAATAATTCTTCAATTAATTTATGTAGGGTTTTCATAGTCAAATTTACTGTCAGCACCCATGGAGAGTTAGTGAATCTTTCCTAAATAGAAAAACCATCCCTAAAAAAGTATCCTGAGATTCATATATTCAGAATTTAAAGGAATTCATGAGATTTTATGAATCTAGAAAATCAACATTTTTCCATTAATTGTATTCCGTATGCTGTACCTTTCATCTCCATGACTTACCTATTTTAGAAATCCAAGTGTGTACCTCATAATCTCTTGTATCTATTTCACCCATTCCCTTACCTACCTCCCCTCTGGCGACCACCAGTTTGTTCTCTGTATTTATGAGTCTGTTTTTTCGCTGTTTCTTCATTTGCTTGCTTGCTTGTTTGTTTGTTTGTTTTTAGATTCCTCATGTAAGTAAAATCAGATGGTATTAGCCTTTCTCTTACTTTCTTCACTTAGCATAATACGCTCTAGGTCTATCCACGTTGACACAAATGGCAAGATCTCATCCTTTTTTATAACTATGCTTCACATACCACATTTTCTTTATCAATTCATCTATCAAAGGACACTTGGAATGCTTCCATATCTTGGCCATTGTAAATAATGCTGTAATAAACATAGAGGTATATATATCTTTTTGAATCCACACAGTAGTGGAATTACTAAATCATATGGTATTTCTATTTTTAATTTTTTGAAAAAACTCCATACTGTTTGCCAGACTGGCTGAACTAATTTTCATTCTGACCAACAGTGCACAAGGGTTCCTTTTTCTTCACAAGGGTTCCTTTTTCTTCACATTCTCACCAACACTTTTTATTTCTTGTCTTTTTGATTCCAGCCATTCTGACAGGTGTCAGGTAATATCTCATTATGGTTTTGATTTACATTTCCCTGATGATTAGTGATGTTGAGCATTGTTTTCATGGGTCTGTTGGCCATCTGTATGTCTTCTTTGGAAAATGTCTATTCAGGTCCTCTGCCCATTTTTTTGATCACACTGTTTTTGGTTTTGGTTTTTGTTTTTTTGATATTGTATAAGTTCTTTATATATTTTAGACATTAGCCCCTTATCAGATATATCATTTGCAAATATCTTCTCCCATTCAGTAGGTTACCTTTTCATTTTGTTGATGGTTTCCTTCACTGTGCAAAAGCTTTTTATTTTGGTGCAGTCTCAATAGTTTATTTTTGCTTTTGTTGCCCTTGCCTGAGGAAAGTGGCCCAAAAATATATTGCTAACACCAGTGTCAAATAAATTACTGCCTATGTTTACTTCTAGAAGTTTTATGGTTTCAGGTCTTACATTCCAGTCCATTTTGAATTTCTTTTCTATATGTTCTAAGATAGTGGTCCAGTTTTCTCTGTTAAAGAAACAGTTTTTTCCCCACTATATATTCTTGCCTCCTTTCTCATAGGTTAATTGACTATATAAGCATGGGTTTATTTCTGGGGTGTCTATTCTAGTCCATTGATCTATTTGTCTGCTTTTGTGCCGTACCATACTGTTGTTACTATTACAGTTTTATAGGTTGAAATCAGGGAGCATTATTCTTTCAGCTTTGTTCTTATTTCTCAAGATTGCTTTGGCTATTCAGAGTCATTTGTGTTCCATAAACATCTAAGGCTTCTTTGTTCTAGTTCTGTGAAAAATGCCACTGGTATTTTGATGGGAATTGTATTGAATCTGTAGAGGGCTTTGGGTGATATGGACATTTTAACAATATTAATTCTTCCAATTCATGAGCACAATATATCTTTCCATTTATTTGTGTAATGTTTAATTTCTTTCCTCAGTGACTTAAAGTTTTCAGAGTACATCTGAAAACTACATCATCTCCTCAGTTAAAATTATGTCTAGGTATTTTATTCTTTTTGGTACATTTGTAAATGAGATTGTTTTCTCAATTTCTCTTTCTGCTACACTGTTATTAGTGTAAAGAAATGCAACAGATTTCTGTGCATAATTTTTCATCCTGCAACTTTACTGAATTTATTTATCAGTTCTAATAGTTTTTTTTTTTTTTGGTGGAGTCTTTAGGGTTTTCTATATATAGTATCATGTCATTTGCAAATAGTAAAAGTTTTACTTCTTCCTTATCAATTTGTACGCCTTTTATTTTTCGTGTCTGATTGCTGCAACTAGAACTTCCAGTATCATGCTGAATAGAAGTGGTGGGTGGACATCCTTGTCTTAGGGGAAAAGCTGTCAGTTTTTCACAACTGAGTATGATGTTAGCTGAGGGACTTTCACATATGTCCTTTATTGTGTTGAAATATGTTCCCTTTATTATGTTGAAATATGTTCCCTCTAGACCAACTTTGCAGAGGGTTTTTAGCATGAATGGATGTTATAGTTTATCAAAGCTTTTTCTGAATCTATTGAGATGATCATACGGTTATCCCATCTCTTATTAATGTGATGTATCACACTGATTGATTTGCAGATACTGAACCACGCTTGCATCCCTGGAATAAATCACGATTTAGTCTGGTGAATGATTTTTGTAAAGTATTGCCAAATTCTGTTTGCTAATATTGTATTGAGGATTTTACATATATGTTCATCAGAGATATTGGCCTGTAGTTTCTTTTTTTTGCCATGTCTTTGTCTGGTTTTGGTATCAGGGTAATCCTGACCTCACAGAATGAACTTAGAAACTTTCCTTCCTCTTCTGTTTTTTGGAATAGTTTGGGAAGAACAATTATTAGCTCTTCTTTAAATATTTGGTAGAATTCCTCTGTCAAGTTATCTGGTCCTGGATTTTTGTTTGTTGGGAGTTTTTTGATTACTAATTCAGTTTCATTGCTGGTAATTATTTTTTTTTCAAATTTTCTATTTCTTCCTGATTCAGTTTTGAAAGATATATTTCTAGGAATGTGTCCATTTAAATTGACATTTCTTAAGGTAATGTTTGGTAGTTCCCAGAAATGTTTAAAGACATTTCCGAGGGTGGTGGCGGGGAGATTTGATTTAAAAAATAAAAATAAAATGCTGGGTTAAACAAAGTTAACCAGATTCTCTTGGAGCCTTAATGTGCTAATATGTTTTATTAATACTTGAAGCAGACATAGTCAAAATCATTTCTTAAACTTACTGTTCCATGGAACCCAATTTTTCTGAATAGCCTAAGACACCACTGCATGTCAGAAGATACTTTGGGTAGTGTTGCTTCAGTGAATTCCCAGAGTAAAGGCTTAATGTTCCATCTTCTCTGCTTAATTCTTTTAAAATGCCTTCTCCTTCAAATGGCTGTCAAGAACTTTAATTTTGTCAGTTCTCAGTTCATATTGTTATAAGCATGATTTTATTATTAAAGTGAGATGGGATTAATATTTTTATAATGAGATAACATTTTAATTTCACCATTTATATATAAACACAAGTTAATAAAACACATCACAAAACAGTAAAATTTCAGAGTTAATATTTATAGGTGCATAGTTTCATGCTCACGTTTTTAAGTATTATATATATTAACAAATTTCACAACACATCATTATTTTTAAACAGAAATAATCATTAAAAGACACCTAGAAATCTTATAGTATATGATAGTAAATCACAACTTCTCAATAACAGCAACAAAAAATAGTGAAGATTTAGAAATAAGTGGTAGTCACTTAGGTGTTTTAATTTAACATTTTAGATTTGAAGCCACAATATCACATAGCACACAAGGATCCTGCTACCATATAATCACTTCAGTGAGAGGGAAGCACTGAAATGCTGAGTAGGGGCAGGTACAGATAACTTCAATCACTGCTGATGGAAGAGTTTAAAATACATTGTAAAAACTTTGAGAAAATATCATGACTGGGCATGTTGGAACTGAGTACTTGTACAGGATGGAACATCTTTCAGTAGGTCTCAAGAAACTGGGAGCAAAAGTATTTCTTAGGCTTCGGGTTCATAGTCTTGATATCCTTCCTAATATGAAGAAAATCAGAAAGAAAACATGCAGTGTTATTAGTTTTAGTCCTCAGTAATGAAGGATTTAGGGTGAATGAGATAGGACACGGCTCACTACCTTGAATGAAGGTTATACTCATAACAGCTCTGCAACTATTCAGTTACACACAATATACTTTCATTTTTAATAATTTTGTCTTCCTGTCAAATATAAAAGTGAATTATGCTGCTCAGAGTTCAGGTATCTGAATTTTCCTTTCAGATGACATTTAACAATCATATGTTCTAGTCCTGTAGGACAAGTTAGTTGGTCTATATTGCTCCCAGTTTCCTCAACTGTACATTTTGAGAGATAAATTAAGTGGCTTAAAAAGCCTCTTCAAGGGCTAAGATCCTCTAATTTTTAAAATGAGACAAAGACATTTAAAGGCAAGTGACATTTTCTCTCCTTTTGCTTCTCAATGAAAATGTCTTCTTCATCCATGGCTTCAATTATTACTTTTATTCTAAACCCCCCTCTCCCCATACAATATATGGATAGCATCCACAATAAAAATATTAAAGATCTTAACTAAAGCAGTCAGATTAGTCCTAAAGAACAACTCTAATTAGGATCCTGCTTTAAAATGAACGAACAAATGTACCTTCAATAACTCAAGTTGCTTTCTGAATATAGTACAAACTTAAATGGAAAGGTTCTCCTAGTATTCTACAACTTATCTTTGACCCATCTCTGCAGCGTTAATATGTCACTAGTATCTGTTCCCTAACCTCAAATCCTATTTAATTACTCACTGTTCCTCAGACATATCTTTATGCATGTTTAGACATGCATGCCTTTGCTTCTGATATTACCTTGTGCTAGAATGTCCTCCTTTGATTTTGGCCTATCATGTCTCCCATCCCCCCACACACAGATCAACACCAACTCTTCTATAAAAGTCCTGATCACTCTGACCAGCTCCTGTAAAATATTATACTTTTTTTGTGTATCTTGAATATTTTTGCCTCTGTGATGCCTGATACATAGAAGACAGTCAATAATGTTTAAGGAATTATCATGAATAAATGAAGGAGTAAATTTGTATTTGTTTTTGTCAAACCATTAGAATGTAAACTCCTTGTGTCCTGGTACTATCAATTAATCTTCTTGTATTTTCTATAGTATTTAGCATTGTGCTGTGCATAAAAAGATTCAAAAATTTTGGTAAAATCTAAGAAACAATTTAATCTCAATTTCTATAAATGGGATTATCACTATGCCTTTAACTGATGCCATGAAGAATAATATATAACCTAACTAAAGACATTTTAACTTAATTTTTAACGAATAATACATCTTCTTTGTGATGTCTGGTTCCGGTATAAGGGTAACACTGTCCTCATGGAGTTAGTTGGGGAGTAACCTTTCCTCTTTTTTTTTTGGAAGAGAAATTAATTGGTATTAATTATAATTAATAGTTATTAATTATTCCATAAGTGGTAGAATTCATCAGTGAAGCTGTCTGGTCCTGGGATTTTCTTTGTGGGTAGATTTTTTTTAACAATAATCCAGTTTCTTTACTTTGTTATAGGTCTATTCAGATTTTCTATTTCTTCTTGAGTCAGCTGCATTCATTTAAAAGTATTTTTAAATTTTCCTTAAGATACATTTTCTTTTAAAGAAACTTATTTTCAAATTAAAATTAATCATCAAAAGGCTAGATTGAAGTACATCAGTTCCTGCAAACCATGCATTTATCATATTTCTACTCTATAATTTTTGTGGGTAACTTTTATTTTACCATGCAAATATCCTGCTGGAAATGTATGGCAAATAATAATTACTTTAGGCATTCAGTTGATTTCTCCAACTTTCCATTTGGGGATTTATTTTAGAAAGTAAGGTTTTTAATAAAATAATTTTCTGATGCAGGGATCAGCAAACACTTTCTGTAAAGGGTCATTAAGTACATATATTAGGTTGTGTGAACTACAGAGTATCTCTGTTTTGTTTTTTTTTTTTAAACAACCCTTTACAAATGTAAAAACCACTTCTAGCTTTCAAGTTGTCTGCACAATATATATTCTGGATTTGGCCAATTTGTCCCTCTAGAGAGTAAATCACTTTCATTAAGGACAAATGGAAGGAAAGTCTGACAGTGACAGATTTTTGGTACTGCTTATTAAAAAGACCCAACTTGAAGTCCTGAAGTTTATTTTTAGAGTTGTAGGTATATAAAATTTTACCTCAGAAGGCATTTCATATGCCTCATTGTCAGGATCAACGGGCATATCTTCCAGAATTCCTTCCTGTGGGCCTCCTTCTTCACTCTAAACGGGAAGCACAAAAGGAATATGATGAGGTACTAGTTTTTACTTTTTAAAAAATTAAGCACACTTTCAAAACATCTTATATATAATACTCGTAAGAATGTTGTAAAAGTGGCACTCCTTAATATTACTGCTGGCATTCTAAACTATATAGTACCTTTGCGGAAATATTGTGGTTGTATGTGTTGTTAACACTAAAAATGTACAAATTTTTTGCCCAAGTAATTTACTACCCAGAAAGTAGTCCAAAGCTATCATACAAACATGTTTTTCAAAGCATCAATGACAGCAGTAAAAGAAATTGTTAACCTAAATGTTCAGTAGAAGATGAAAAGTTTAGAAAATTATAATTAATCTATTCAATAGATTATTATGAAGATATGTATTTACTATAGCATGAGAATTATATAACAAAATGAGAACCTATTATAATATCACGTTTAGAAAGATATAAAGTTGTATATATTATGGACATAACCAATGTATTATTCAGATACAAAGCTAAAAAGATTGAAGAAAATCCAACAAAATATTAAAAGCACTTTTTATTGGGTAGTTATGTTTTACTTTTTCATAAGTTAACTTATATAACCATTTATAATGTAAAAGCATACATATTTTATAATTTATTTTTAAATGATGGCAAAGAAATTATTTTCTGAAATTTCAAAATTGAAGCTATATAAATATATATAACTATATAAATATATATTAACTATATATCACTGTGTATATATATATATATATATATATATATATATATATGTAGAGAGAGAGAGAGAGAATCAAATACATGATCCACAAATTTCCCAGATCTCTCTCCTTAGAAATAAGATACCATAAAACTCAACTTGAACTCAGGTCTTCACTAGTATCCTTCATTAAATACCTTTTGTTGCTTTGCATTTATTCCAGTAAAGTTCACTGAAAATTGAAAAAGCAGAGAGGCAATGTGAGCCTAAAATGGACTTACTCAAAGAGATCAAATACTCCCTCAGCCAATGTTGCTTATGTTTAAAAATATGCCTGATGTAAATAATAGCTCCTCCTGTCTCCATCATGAAAGTGACTCACAGGTAGGCAGAGAGATAAAGAAATGGCTGCCCATGTGAAAAGTCAAACTAAACCTCATGCTTACGTTAACTGGGCTGAGTAGTTTATAGATCATCTTCTCTTGCCCAACTCCCTTTTTATAAACCAAAACAGTCCAAGTTATATATAAATGAAATAAAATATAAACATTCCCCAGAATACCTTACTTCTAAATGTGGAATAAAGATACTATTTGCATGGTGTTTCACCTCTTAGCACAAGTCAAGAATATAGGTTCTCTTGTGTTGTGGTTAGATATGAGGTCGGTAGCATCACAAGACTTGAGTTCAAATCTTAGCTTCTCTAGATTCTAGACTTTTTAAATTGAAGTACAAGTAACATATAGTATTATATTAGTTTCAGGTGTACAACATAATGATTCAACAATTCTATACATTATTCAGTGCTTACCACGCACGATGAGTATAATCACCATCTGTCACCAAACAATGTTATTATAATCTTGTTGACTATGTGCCCTATGTACTTTTCATCTCTGTGACTTATTTATTTTATAACTGGACGTTTATACTCTAAATCCCTTTTAGTTCACCCATTCCTCACTCACCTTTTCTCTGGCAACCACCTGTTCTCTGAAGTTCAGAGTCTATCTCTTTGTTCATTTTTCTTATTTCTCAGATTCCACATATAAGTGAAGTCACTTATTTGTCTTTCTCTTATTTAACTTAGCATTATACTCTTTAGGTCTTAGAAGCGTTGTTGCAAATGGTGACATTTTGTTCTTTTTTATGGGTAATACTCCATTGTGTGCATAAATACACTACACCTTCTTTATCCATTCCTTTTACAATGGACACTTAAGTTGCTTCCATATATTGGCTATTGTAAATAATGCTGCAATAAACATAGGGGTGCATATATCTTTTCAAATTAGTGTTGTTATTTTCTTTGGGTAAATACCCAATAGTGGAATTATGGGGTCATACGGTATTTCTATTTTTAATTTTTTGAGGAAACTCCATACTGTTTTCCAGACTGGTTGCACTAATTTTCATTTCCACCAATAGTGCACAGGTTTCTTTTTTCTCCACATCCTTACCAATACTTGTTATTTCTTCTTTTTTATTCTAGGCATTCTGATAGGTGTCAAGTAATAAATATCTCATTATGGTTTTGATTTGCATTTCCCTGTTGATTAGTGATGTTGAGCATCTTTTCATGTGTCTGTTGGCCATCTGTAGGTCTTCTTCGGAAGATGTCTACACAGGTCCTCTGCCCATTTTTTTGATTACACTGTTTTTTTGATATTGTATAAGTTCTTTATATATTTTGGATATTAACCCTTAATGTATATGTCATTTGCAAGTATCTTCTCCCATTCAGTAGGTTGCCTTTTTGATAGTGCAAAAGCTTTTTATTTTGGTGTAGTCTCAATAGTTTATTTTTGTTTTTGTGTCTGTTGCCTAGGGAGACATATCGAAAAAAGTGTTTCTACGGCTGATGTCAAGGAAATTATTGCCCATGTTTTCTTTTAGGATTTCTATGGTTTCAGGTCTCGTATTTAGGTCTTTAATCCATTTTGAGTTTATTTTTGTGTATGGCATATGAAAGTGGTCTAGTTTCATTCTTTTGCATGTAGCTATCCAGTTTTCCCAACACCATTTATTGAGGAGACTGTCTTTTCTCCATTGTATATTCTTGCGTCCTTTGTTGTAGATTAATTGACCATATAAGCATGGGCTTATGTCTGGGTTCTCTATTCTTTTTGATTTATCCATGTGTCTATTTCTGTGACAGTACCATACTGTTTTGATTACTACAGCTTTGTAGTATGTCTTGAAATCTGGGAAGGTGATACCTTCAGCTTTGTTCTTCCTCAAGATTGCTTTGGCTGTTTGGGATATTTTGTGGTTCCATACAAATTTAGAAATTCTTTGTTCTATTTCTGTGAAAAATGCCATTGGCATTTTGATAGGGATTGCATTGAATCTGTAGAGGGCTCTGGGTTGTATGCACATTTTTACAGTACTAATTCTCTATGAGCATGAATATCTTTCCATGTATTTGTATCATCATCAATATCCTTTATCAATGTTTTACAGTTTTTAGAGTGCAGGTCTTTTACCTTCTTAAGTTTATTCCTAGGTATTTAATTCTTTTTAGTGCAATTGCAAATGGGACTGTATTCTTAATTTCTCTTTCTTCTACTTTGTAATTAGTGTATAGAAATGCAACAGATTTCTTTACATAATTTTGTATCCTGCAACTTTACTGAATTCATCAGTTCTAATAGTTCTTTTTGGTGGAGACTTTAGGGTTTTTTATATATAGTGTCATGTCATCTGCAAATAGTGAAAGTTTTACTTCTTCCTTATCAATTTGTATGCCTTTTATTTTTCTTGTCTGATTGCTGCAGCTAGAACTTCCAGTATCATGCTGAATAGAAGTGGTGGGTGGACATCTGTGTCTTGTCCTTGATCTTAGGGGAAAAGCTGTCAGTTTTCCACAACTGAATATGATGTTAGCTGAGGGATTTTCACATATGTCCTTTATTATGTTGAAGTATGTTCCCTCTAAACCTAAGTTTGTTGAGAGTTTTTTTGGCATGAATGGATGTTGTCCTTTGTCAATGTTTTTTTGGCATCTGTTGAGATGATCATATGGTTTTTATCCTTTCTCTTGTTAATATGATGTATTATACTGATTGATTTGCAAATATTGAACCAGTCTTGCATCCCTGGAATAAATCCCAATTTATTGTGGTAAGTGATTTTTGTAATGTATTGTCAAATTCTGTTTGCTGATATTTTTTTATTAAATATTTTATTTATTTGAGAGAGAGAGAGAGACAGCAAGCATGAGTGAGAGAGAGAGAGAGAGTGTGAGAGAGAGAGAGAGAACCAGAAGGGGGAGAGGCAGAGGGAGAGTAAGAAGCAGGCTCCCCACTGATTAGGAAGCCTGACACAGGGCTCGATCCCAGAACTCTGGGATCATGACCTGAGTTGAAGGCAGGCGCTTAACCAAACTGAGCCACCCCGGTGTCCCCTGTTTGCTAATATTTTATTGAAGATTTTACGTCTTTGTTCATCAGAGATATTAGCCTATAGTTTTCTTTTTGTTTGCACTGTCTTTGTCTGGTTTTGGTATCAGGGTAATGCTGGCCTTGTAGAATGAATTTGGAAGTTTTTCCTCCTCTTCCCCTCCTCCCCCTTCTTCTTTTTCCTCAATACTTTCAGAAGAATAGTTATTAACCCTTTAAATGTTTGGTAGAATTCACCTATGACGCCATCTTGTCCTGAGCTTTTGTTTGCTGGAAGCTTTTAATTCTGATTCAATTTCATTGCTAGTAATCACTCTGTTCAAATTTTCTATTTCTTCCTGATTCAGTTTTAGAAGATGATATTTTACTAGAAATTTATCTAGTTCTTTTAGATTTTCCAATTTGTCCTGTAATTTTTCATAATATTCACCTATAGTTTTTTGTATTGCTGTGTTATTATTTCTCCTCCTTCACTTCTAATTTCATTTGAGTTCTTTCTTTTTTCTTGATGAGTCTGGCTAAAGGTCTATCAACTTTGTTGATTTTTTTTTTAACTTTGTTGACCTTTACAAAAAGCCAGATCTTTGTTTCATTGATCTTTACTATTGATTTGTCTAGTCTCTATTTCATTTATTTCTGCTATAATCTTTATTATTCCTTTCTTTCTACTAGCTTTGGGCTTTGTTTTTTCTTTTTTTTTTTCTAGCCCCTTTAGATACAAGGTTGGGTTGTTTATTTCAGATTTTTCTTGTTTCTTAAGGTAGGCCTATGTTGGGGTGCCTGGGTGGCTCAGTCCTTAAGCATCTGCCTCCAGCTCAGGTCATGATCCCAGGGTCCTGGGATCAAGCTGTGCATCGGGCTCCCTGCTCAGCTGGAAGCCTGCTTCTCTCTCTCCCACTCCCC